CCTCCCCTCTCCCCCAGCACCCCGCCCTCCAGTCCCACCACAGCCTCCCTCAGAGGGGACGGCACCTGGCAGAGGACCAGGACGCCGAGGAGGGCGGCCCTGCAGGGAGAGGCCAGAGCCTCCCTCGGCTCAGCCCTGGGTCGCCCTCTCCCCCGCTGGTCCTCCCGCCGGCACTTACCCACCGACTGCAGGGTGGCCACCAGACTGCCGGCAGCAACTCCGCCACCGTGGGCCACGGCCGCGGCGGACATCATCTTGGCCGCCACGGAGGAGGCAGCGATGCCCGCCCCCGTGAAGCCCAGGGTGCCGAGCACCACGGGCACTGCCCCCACCGCCAGGGCTGAGGGGAGAGAAGCTGGCTAGGGACTCCCTTGGGCGTCCCTGGCCGCTTCTGGGGCCGGTCGGCTCGAGCACATGGGCGGCAGCGGCATGGGGGCACCGGGCGAGGGAGAGGCGGTGTGCCGCCAGGTGGGGCCAGGGCGTCACAGAGGACCAGGCGGAGCGGGGGGTGGTCTCCAGGTGACCCTGAGCAAGTCACCGCCGCTCACGGGGTCTCGGATCGTGCGTGCCAGTGTGCGGGGGACGTAAGCCCTTGCCGGGTGCAGCAGCCCACCCCCGTCAAAGGAAAGCCTCCTCTCGGGCCCATTTCTTGTAGGGACTGGAAGCTGGGCCGGGCTGGGGCTGCTCTCCCTGGAGCATCCTGAGCTCTGCTCTCGGCCCGTGGTTCTCTGGGCCGCCGGAGTGGGGGCCAGCCCTCTCAACCCCAGCGCCCACGTCTCTCGGGTCTCCCCGCCATCCTGCGACCTTGGGCCAGGGGAGGCCTGGCGACGCGGGTCCAGGTGACTCACCTCCTCCGACTGCGGCAGCAGCTGCCTGTTCTAGAGAGAGAGAGACAGAGGCAGAGAGACAGAAGGGAGAGAGAGAGAGAAAGAGAGACAGACAGTGGGAAGAGAGAAAGAGAGAGACAGAGACAGAGAGAGGAGAGAGACAGAGGGAAGAGGGAAAGAGCGAGAGAGAGAGTCAGCTGGCCCTCCTGGTCCTCCCTGGCCCCCCAGGCCTGCCCGCTGCCAGCCCCCCAGCTCCTTGAGCCAACAAGACTCACTCATCATGCTGAGGCCGTCTGGGTCACAGCTCCGCCCAGGAAATGACAAAATCCGAGGGTGTTCCTTCCT